CCCGCCTTGCTGCTGCAGCAGCAAGACTAGGGCGCAGTGAAACACCGATCAGCATGGCCCCTGTGGTGGGGGGGGCAGGGAGGGGGCGTTATTCCCCCCTTCTAGCCCTACTGCCCCCGGGGGACCGCAGTGGGATCTGACCACTCTGACCGCCGCTGCCCCCTCTGTATCCGTGCGTGTGGCAAGCTGTAGGATAAGTGCCCTCTGCCAGATGCCACAGGGAGGTGGGGAATAACCCCCCTCACTGCCCCCTCACCTAAGGGGCCTGCCAGCCAGCCTCTGGTTGTGCCCCTGCCCTGCCGCTGCAGCAGTGAGCAGACAGGGTCCTGATGGGGCAGCAGCCCCTGCCCTGGTGTCCAGGCAGCCTGAGCTTCTTCCTGGCGGGGGGCCACAAGCGGAGGTCAGTGCTGCCGCAGACTACACAGGGTGGGTGGTGGCACCAGGGCTCAGAGGGGGCCATCACGCCCCCAGCACAACTGCGACCACTAGTCTGAGCCAGCAGGAGTGAGGATGGCTGGGGTGTGCAGACCCTGGCTGCAGTCACCCAGGGGCAGAGAGGGGGGGATAACCCACCTCCTTACCCCCCTGCTATGCCCCAGCCCTGTTGCTACAGCAGTGAAGGGTGAGTGCCCAGGGGACCCTGGCCCAGAACCATACCAATGGGACAGGGAAGGGGGAATTAAACCCCTCCCTGGCCAGCTCACTCAGAGATAATGCCCGGGCTGGCTTTGCCCCACCCCACCAACTGGAGCAGCCAGCAGAGGAGATATGCAGGTCTGCACCAGTGAGGCAGGGGAATTGGGGGGGGAGGAAATAAACCTCTTCCCTGCCTCGTTCTCAGCACCAGGGCCAGGGCCACCCTTGCCTGTCCTTGCTCGGGCTGGGGAGCAGAGGGGCAGGGGCAGCCCTGCTGGGTTGAAGTAGAGTGCCCAGCTCAGAGAGCATGCTGGGATGCTGGAGGACTCTGGTTTAAGTTAAACTAGGAAGGAGTCTGGGACAGACATTGCATCAACCAGTTTGAGCTCAATCAGTTCAGTTGGATACTACATTCAACCAGGTTTATCTCAAACCGGTTTTAGCCCTTTTGAAACTGGTTTATGTGCACCAAACCTGTTCTGTTACAGGTTTAAACCAGTTTCTGATCACTTAAACTGGTTTGTGTGTAATGTCTATCCCTAGCCTAAAACTGCTAGCACAAACCCCCCCCCCAAAAAAAAACACAGAACAAAACTATTAAGCCTAGATGAAGTCAACCTCCACCTCTATCTAACTACCTATCAAAAGAAAACAACCAGTGTCTTCTCTCCAGTACAATTTTACATGCAGGAAGCTCTGTAAAAAATCCAACCATCATAAAGCATGATTTTCATTTCCAAGAGAGACCCGGGTTTTAACTGGCCCCTCAGTGTAAGGAGACTTCTTTATTTTGTCAAATCAACAATTTGATCTAGGTATAACTCAAAAATACAGAGCATCCTCCTAGACAGGTGGTACAGTGTGCCAGGTTTTGCTACAAACAGAGAGACTCTCTATGAAGGTGTTAGTACTTTGTAATGTAATATATTTATTTATTTATTTCAGTCACCTTTCTGCACCTAAATAGATGAGAGACATTCTTCTAGTTGTGGGCAATTCTATTGACTTCAGATATAACATTAAAGACTTTTATAGCTATAAAGAATTGGGAATGTCCCTGTAATATCTTAAACCTCTTCTGATGGATTAACTAGATCAAGTTGAACATTGAGTCAACATTGACTAGATCTGTCTGCACATTGAGTTATTCTAGAGTAAATATACTTATGATACTTGGAAATGGAATAAGCTAAAGCAGAAAAATAGCTGCTTATTCTGGAATGATTATACACACACAGAATTATTCCAGAATAACTACTCTGTTTTAAATTCACAGGGGCTAGAAACAGACATTGCATTTGTTCAGAGAAGTTGTGCGTGTGTTTATCCCAGAACAGAAAAGTCCCAGGCATGGATATACACGTTGTCCTTCCAATCAGGGTATAGCAGTGCATTCAGCCACTTGCTGCTTCAAATCAAGCTCCAGCTTTGAAACGTTGATTGCATTTCTATTGCTCTTAAACAGCACTATTAAAATTTTTGTACAATCGATATTATAATATAAAAATAAAGTATCAGTTAGTTGCCTCATATGTTAGTCTCCTCTGGTAATACTTCAAAGTGTCTTGTTTGAGGGAAAAATGGTCAAAATAAAATGTTCAGGCATTCTAAATCCTAGGGGGAACAAAAAGCTTCCCCCTCATCTAAAAAAAGCAAGTCCCTCTGAAGATGCAAGGTCATAGCTGTCTTTAGATTACAGTTGGTTTGAAGCAAAAAGCTTTGACAAGTTTATTATGCAGCACAACAGTACC